ATCATGTGTTTGTAGGTAACCTCTTGAGCATGCAATCTGAAAAGTCTGAAAACAAATCTGAATTTCATTAGACTTAATTTTAACACGGGGGGAATTTACTCATTTTGGTTCACAACCGATAAGGGGAGAGAATCCTTTCAAATTCAGAGGAAACTCTGTCACCCAACCCTGCCACTCCCTGCATGAAAAGAAAGAGTGATGAGAAAAAGGAATATGAATTCTATAAATCTTTCTGCAGGCCTAAACAAATATAAAGCGCTGGTTTGTACTTCATCATGTTCAAGTTCTGATCCAAATAATTGTAACAATTTTCCTTGGGACACTTTTAACACACTTCACTCTCTTCCACAAATTTAGTTTCTCATCAGAAGCTCCTCTCACCCAACTAACTAGAGTCTACAAAGATGTCACTGCAATGAACAGACACAGTTCTGAGAAACAGGAAGACATCTGCAAAAGAACTGAGTTTTTCTAGAGAGCTGGATTTCTGACACTCTGTAGACACTGCCTTTTATTTTATACTCCTAGTACTGCAGGTATCATAACAAAGTATGTATGTTCAATAGTTTCCATTTATTTAAGTTATAACACCATTTTGCTTTTATAATTGGTTCCAGTTATAAAAGCTATCCAAGAAAAATAAACACTGGCTTCTTATATCTACTATTACTTTTATCATCATTGTGACCACCCACCACCAGTATAATCACCTACTTCTAATAACTGCTTCTATTCAATAACATAATTCTAGAATACAGTACAGGAGCAAAGCTAAAAAGAAACCCTGCCATTTAACTAGAGCCCTGCCTATAGGAAGCAGTCCACTAGACAAAGAAACACATATAACACAGTGAAACTCCAGAATGTGACTCTTCCTAAGAAAACAGGTCTTGAGTATGTCAGGCTGGTTGTGCTGACATATAAAATTATTAGGTAATTTTCAAAACATGTTTAACATAAAAGATTCAATTACTTCTTTTTCATAAAATAAGGTGATCATAATTTTCTGGTTTTGTTCTTTTCCATAATCACCTAATCTTTTAAATTTAAGAATATCTTACAACAGGAGTAAAACTAGAATATTACCCCAAAGCACTCACACTCTGAATTATTTACTCAATTAAATGCTTAACATTTGCACATTTGAACATCCAGTGATTCAGGAGGACCACAAATGTCCATGACCATGTACTTCTTAACCTGATGGCAGTTCTTTACTCATCACTAACTCTGGAGTAACTGCCACAAAGTGACAACTTTGTTTCTTGGCTGAGTGGGGACTAACATGAGGGTAAAAAGGCATCAGGTCTACAAACCAAAAATCCAAACCTGTTGCTGTGAGTCGATTCCAACTCAGAGCAAGCCTACCAGGCAGAGTAGAACTGTCCCACAGGATTTCTAAAACATGGCTGGTGGATTCGAACTGCAACCTTTTGGTTAGCAGCCGAGTGAAACTTTGGATGCATGGAAGAGCAGACTACCATTCATTCACTCACTGCATCACTTGTACCAGTCAGAATTGCAATCGGCTGCATGAAACAGGAAACCTGACCACTGTCACTTAACCAAATGGGTTTATTTTCCTGCCATTACAAGTCTAGAAGTAGACAGTCTACAGCCAGTACAATGGCCCCACAATGGCCCAGTTTCTTCCTCTGGTTGGAGTTGACCAGGGTCAGCTCTGTCTTTACAGGTAGCAAAGGTTAAGCCAAGACAGTGCAACCTGGCTTCAGAGCATGAGAATGCCCAAGGCAAGCTGCTGAGAACTTCACCACCAGAAAAGTGCAAATGCTGACAGAGGCCATTTCAGAGATGCAATCTCATTTTGGTATTCCAAAAATAATGAAAAATCAGGTAACATTACTCTCAACAAAGTAACAAAAATGTGATTTTCAATGTTATGTTGCCTGCAAATACCACTAAATGGACAGAATCCATTTTCAATGAAGAGTAATAAGGTCAGAAACTATGGAGTCAGACTGCTGATGCTCAGATCCCTACTCCACCAGGTACTACTTAGCTATGTGACTTTAGAAAAGTACTTCACTAAACCTTTGCTCAGGTATAAAATGGGGATAACAACAGTCCCTACTTTGTAGACTCAGGATCAAAGGAGATTACAGGTAAAACAGCACAGTGCCTAGCACACGGTAAGTGACAATAAATTCAGCTAAATTATCCTCAAGATCATGACATAGTTCAACTAACACTCAATTAACTGCCTGGTCATAATAACTGAAGTCCTTCTGCCCTGTAGTCCCAGAGTCATAGGAAGAAAAGCAATATCCAGAGAAAAAACCCAAGAAGCCCTCAACAAACTTATCTCATCTATTGGACCCTTCGGCAATTTAAAATGTATCCTTTTCTTCCAAATGTTCTTCACAATTGTTTAGCAAGAATCTGATAAAAACTTTCAATCCTAACCCCAGAAAAATGCATATACATTTTATGTAGAATTGCAGAATGTTAACCAAAACTTATGAAGTCCAACCACGGACATGCCCTGGCACAGAGCAAGAAGAGAGAGGCTACAAACCTGAGGGACATTAATATTTTAAGGAAGGGCCGGTCCTCTAGATTTCCTTAACTAAAATTAAAGATCTAGCTAAAATTCAGTGGCTTAAAAATGATGTTAATAACAACGATTCTGGTAAATTTGGTTAGTACATTCTGCTTAAGAATGCAGAAAAGTACTAAAATTTTAAAACCTGAAAATTAAGCTTCAGTTATCTGAAAAAAATCTCTAGTGTAATAAATTTCATTTTTCAATTAGGTCAAATAAAGAATGTACTACTGTAATACCAACAAATTTAGAAAAACATTAGAAAACATGGAGGTGGTGAAAGTCAAACTGCCTACACGCCATGTGCTGTAACGTAACACAGGCAAAGGTGGTAATTGCAAATAAGCTAGAATGTTGGATAGGGACAACCACCTGGTATAGGGATAAGCAACCAACAGGATAGAAAAAGAACAAACACCAAAATATATCACTACCCCCTTGCCATGGATTGAACTATGTCCCCCAAAAATATGTGTCAACTTGGCTAGGCCATGATTCCCAGTATTATGGGGTTGTCCATCATTTTTTCATCTGATGTGATTTTCCTATGTGTTGTAAATCCTACCTCTATGATGTTAATGAGGTGGGATTAGTGACAGTTATGTTACTGAGGCAGGACTCAATCTGTAAGATTAGGTTGTGTCTTAAATCAATCTCTTTTGAGATATAAAAGACAGAAGCAATGCAGAGAGACATGGGGGACCCTCACACCACCAAGAAATAAGAGCCAGAAGAATAGCACATCCTTTGGACCCAGGGTCCCTGCACTAAGAAGTTCCTCAGCTGGGGAAGACTGAAGTCAAGGACCTTTCCCTAGAGCCGACAGAGAGAGAAAGCCTACCCCTGGAGCTGGCACTCTGAATTTGGACTTCCAGACTACCAGACTGTAAGAGAATAAACTTCTGTTTGATGAAGCCATCCACTTGTGGTGTTTCTGTTATAGCAGCACTAGGTAACTAAGACACCCCTCAACTTCTTGGAGGCAAGAATCTCCTTTGTTGCTGTTGTCAGGTGCTGTCAAGTTGGTTCCGATTCATTAACGACCCTATGTACAACAGAATGAAATACTGCCCGGTCCTGCGCCAAACTCACAATTGTTGCTACATTTGAGCCCATTGTTGCAGCCACTATGTCAATCCATCTCACTGAGGGTCTTCTTTTTCGCTGTCCCTGTACTTTACCAAGCATGATGTCCTTCTCCAGGGACTGGTCCCTCCTGATAACATGTCCAAAGTACATGAGACTAAGTCTCACCATCCTTGCTTCTAAGGAGCATTCTGGTTGTACTTCTTCCAAGACAGGTTTGTTCGATAATTTAGTAATATACTGATAAAAGAACGACAGTGTAAAGTGAGAAAAGGATACTTCATTGATCACTTGTTGTTGTTGGTTGCTGTTGCGTCAATTCCAACTCATGGTGACCCCATGTGTGTCAGAGTAGAACCGTGTTCCATAGGGTTTTCATTGTCTCCCGAGACACCTCTAGATGAAGCTTACCCAAGGTCACAAATAAGTGATGGAGCCGAGATATAAACCCAGGCATTCTGTATCCAGAGCCCTGGCCTCTTGCTATCACACTATCCTGCCTATAGTACAGCATGGGTATAATTAAGATAGAAATCACACAAATCAAATCCTCTTCATCTCAACTATTAGTGGAAATTATTTTCTTCTTTCGCTTTAGCTACTGTAATAATCTTCTAAGTGGTTACTGATACTCCATAGCATCCTTGGTATTGTTGTGAGGGTTACTGTTCTAAAACTGGGATCTTATCACATTCCTCCTCTACTTTAACCCTTCTAACGGTAAGCTTCGAACTCCCTGGCAAAGCATCACATTATATGCACTTAATGATCAAAATAACATGTATGTGTCTTACTTCCCAGCTAGACAGTAAGCAACTTGAAGGAAGAGACATATACTCATCTTTATAGTTCTGGCTATAGTATCTGATGAATTGGTTATGTGGTCAGGCTCAAACTTAAAGCCTTGAAGAGACTTCCAAACTTATCCATCTCTGTTCTGCACTTCAATTCACAGGCTCTTCTTCTAAGCGCTGACCCTTAAATTTATTAATTGTTGGCTATCATTTATGATTAAAAAAACAAAACAAAACACAGTTGCTGTTGCATCGACTCTATCTCATGGCAACTTCAGGGCCCCCCAATCATGTCTTCGCCTATAGGTTTCTGGTGCAGTTGCTAGTGGAACACAACTGTTCGAACACACATGAATAAATCAGTTCATCTCACCTCACCCTCAGTACAACCCTATGGGGTATGAGGAACAAGATGAGAAAACAGACGCCCAGAGGGTTTAAATGACTGTCCTAAAGATACTCAAAAGGTAAGCAGCATCTAGATCCCGAGACAAATGCCACCACACAGCATTACCTCAAAGTACACACAAAAGAAACAAGTTTTAAGTATTACTTACTCTGAGTTTCCACCAGATCCAAAGCAACACTAGAAGCTGCGTCCATTCCAGAGCTGATACAGGACTGGAAGTTTTTTAAGGAAGAGAGAGCAGACTCTACACCGCTGAAGGAGATGAAGCCAGTAGACCCTGAAGTTGAACGACCTGGCATCTTGAAATTATTACCTAAATTTTCAAACACAGTGGAATAAGATTTATGAGTCAGAATAATAACTGCATAGGAAAATAAAACTGCTGTAAACATTCAAATGACTGTATTCAATCTCCTGCAACTACTACATTATTATCTACAATCTATATCCCATGAGAGGATGTCAAAGCATTGTGCCATCATTCTGCACATCAAACACAGGTATGAGGAATCTGTGTTATGGGGAAGGTGTCATGGATTGAACTGTGTCCCCTAAAAAGTTAGGCTGAAGTCCTAACCCCTGTACTTGTAAATGTGACCCTATTTGGAAGTAGGAGTTTTCTTCTGTTATCTTAATGATGTCAGACCAGAGTAGGGTGAGTCCTAAACCTAATCACTTCTGAGTAGTGTATTATTAAAAGAGCAAGAGAGACACACACACAGAGTGGGAAGAAACCATGTGAATATCCATCCACAAGCCAAGGAATGCCAAGGAAGGACCCTCCCCTAGAGCTGATGCCCTGACTTGAACTCCAACTGTGAGGCAATAAACTTCTGTTCTTTAAAGCCACCCACCTTTAGTATTTTTATTATGGCAACAATATATAACTAAAACAAAAGGTAACTGTCTTCATTTTTTAAAGGATGGAGATTACCCTCTTCTAAAAGAATCCTTGCTTCTCTGAAGAATTCAACAACAGTAAAGTCCTTGATGAATCGCCTCGACGGCAACAGGTTTGGGTTTTCTGGTTATAGTTCCTTAAGGAACAAACCTGTCTTGGAAGAAGTACAGCCAGAATGCTCCTCAGAAGCGAGGATGGTGAGACTTTGTCTCACTTACTTTGGACATGTTATCAGGAGGGACCAATCCCTGGAGAAGGACATCATGCTTGGTAAAGTAGAGGGTCAGCAAGAAAGAGGAAGACCCTCAACAAGACAGACTGACACAGTGGCTGCAACAATGGGCTCAAACATAGCAACAATTATGAGGACGGCACAGGACCAGACAACATTTAGTTCTGTTATAAGTACATAAGGTCGCTGTGAGTCAGAAAGGACTCGACAGCATCTAACGACAATAATACAGTCCTTAAAAGCCTAAAATACAAATAAGTTAGAAAAAGTAGAGCGCACTTATATGATTCATGAAAGGCATTTTCCTAAAAAATGAAAATAATCATTAAATAGTTTAATAAGGCAGGATTTTGAAAACATAATTTTTAACTTATCTGATATATACGCACATTAAATCTGAAAACTGTAAAAAACAAACATTCCTGAAAGTGCCTCTGGGTTATAACAGATTTATACACTTGGCAAGACCTCACCTTCTCCTTCAGTAAAAGCAGAAATTCTCTATAAAGTCTTGTGTCAGGTAGCTCATCTAGTATAACAGTGTTATGAATTAAATTGTGTCCCCCAAAAATATGTGTCAACTTGGCTAGGCCATGAGTTCCAATATTATGTGGTTGTCTTCCATTTTTTGATATGATGTAATTATCCTATGTGTTATAAATCTCAACCTCTATGATGTTAATGAGGCAGGATTAGAGGCAGTTATATTACTGAGGAAGGACATAATCTACAGGATTAGGTTGTATCTTGAGTCAATCTCTTTTGAGATATAAAAGGGAGAAGTGAGCAGAGAGGAGAGGGACTTCCTACCACCAAGAAAGAAGAGCTGCAAGCGGAGCGTGAGGACCAAGAGTCCCTGTGCTGAGAAACTCCTAGACCCAGGGGAAGACTGATGACAAGGATCTTTCTCCAGAGCTGACAGAGATAGAAGGCCTTCCCCCGGACCTGGCACCCTGAATTCGGACTTCTAACCTCCTAGGCTGTGAGAGAATAAGACAGTTTCGGTTATTACCCTACTATTAAAAACTCACTAATCTAATCTTCAGAAACCCTGGTGGCGAAGTGGTTAAGCGCTCAGCTGCGAACCAACAGGTCAGTGGTTTGAACCCACCAGCCGCTCCACAGGAGAAAGATGTGGCAGCCTGCTTCCGTAAAGGTGCGGCAGTTCTACTCTGTCCCACAGGTCGCTATGAGTCAGAATGGACTCAACAGCAGTGGATTTGGTTTCAGTTTTGCATAATCTACTCTTCAACCACCAACTCTTTAAGATTTGGACCACTTATGTAAAGCCGCCTACAAGCAGACATCTTTGCCTAATTGAGAAACCATCTGAAATTCAATCCACTGAAAACCAACTAGAAAAGTGGACAGAATTCACACGGCTTAAAGAGAAGAGAGGGCTGCTCTTAAGAATGTATGATAGTGGAAAGGAGGGTATTATTTCCTTGGATCAGATAGACATAGCATGAATTCAGACTCTGCTACTTTACTACTGAGTGACCACGGGCAGATTGCTTAAACCTCTCTAAACTTCAGTTTTGTCATCTTTAAAATGGGAATGATTTTATTAGTGTGGTCTAGCACACAATACACCATTAATTAGCATTAGGACCTCCCCTCCTGCTCTTCCTTTCTTAAGTGGGGAAGTACATAGTATCTCTGGCATTTCCATCCTCTCCATCACCACCACACCTTTCTCTTACACCTAGACTACTACAGTCCCGCTGCTGTGGAGTCAATTCCAACTCATAGCAACCCTATAGGACAGAGTAGAACTGCCCCATAGAGCTTCCAAGGAGCAGCTGGTGGGTTCAGACTGCCAACCTTTTGGTTAGCAGCTGAGCTCTCATCCACTATGCCACCAGGGTTTCCGACTACTACAGCAGTTTCTCAATTACTGGTCTTTTTTAATTAGATCCATCCATCCATTCATTCATTCAAAAAATAGGCACTGAGTGCCTTACCATGTCAATCATTAGATGCATTCAAAAACACACAGGACATTAAAAGGGAAGGGCACAGAGATCCTAAGTCTACTATAGACAGATAAACATCCACCATACAATTCATCATCAATTCAAGTCATTCAGTTAACAAATATTAGCATTTCTTTAAGTGCCAGGCACTTCTTTAATCTGGAAATAGTCATTTTCAAGACAAGTACTCTTAAGATTTTCATTTTAAAGCACTATTATGATCATTTTAAAGCACTATTTTGTTCATTCATTCTAATTTGATGAAAACCAATTATGTGCCAGGCACCATCCTAGGCACTATGCTCAGCTCCCCAGGGGCTCCCCAGTCAGTCACAGGAGAGACAGGCATATGAACAAATGATTAATGCAATATGGGAGTTACTGCAAAATAGAGGTGCTAATAAGGGAATGCTTAACCTTGCCCCAGGAGATCAAAGAAAGCAGCAAAGAACTGATTTTACAGGATAAGGAGGGAAGGAGCTTACCAGGGAGATAGAGGGATGACGGAGAAGGGCATTCAGGCAGAGGAAAGGGCATATAGGACTAAAGCGAACCAGCAGTTGCAAACTCCAGACAACGGCTTGAATTTTCCTGACCAGGTTATGCTTTTATGAATCCTCTCTTCAAACTTCCAACACGTCCTCCTCCATCCTCACTCTCAGCTAAAGACCTCTTTCCTATTTCACTGAGCAGACAGAAGCAGTCAGAATAAATACTTTACAAGTTCCCACTGCTTATCTACCCACCCACCAGCACCAGTTCCCATATACTCTGCCCTCCCCCTTGTCAAAATGAATAAATTGTGTGTAAGGTCAACCCTTCCACTTATCCACTAGATCCCATCCCTTTTTCCCTACTCTAGGGCATTCTCCCAGGAATTCTCCCTGCTTTCCTGCATCACAAAATTTTCCCGCTCTGCTCAATTGGTCCTTTCAGCAAACAACTATACTGTTAATTCTTCCATCGTAAAGACCAATATCCTCCTTGCACCCACTTTTTCCTCTGACTGTTGTTGTTGTTAGCTGTCAGAGTCAATTCTGACTCATTGAGACCCCATGTGTGCAGAGTAAGACTGCTTCACAGGGTTTAAAGGCTGTGGCCTTTGGGAAGCAGATCACCAGGACTTACTTCAGAGGCACTTCTGGGTGGGTCTGAACTGCCAACCTTTTGGTGGGCAGTCCAGGGCTTAATTATTTGCACCACCCAGGCCACCCCCGTTTCTCCACTCAACCTTACAGCTAAACTCCTCCAAAGACCTGTCTATCCTTGTCTCCAAATCCTCTCGTCCCATTCTCTCTTTTTTTTTTTGACCATTAGCTGCTATTATTTTTTAGTTTGTTTTTTTTTTTTTTTGGTAAAATATGTGTGTGTGTGTGTGTGTGTGTGTGTGTATACAATTTGCCATTTTAAACATTTTTAAGTGTACACTGACTAATGTTTCAGTGACATAAACTAAATCACCATGTTGTACAACTATCACCACTATCCATTTCCAAAGTTTTTTCATCCTCCCGAACAGAAATTCAGTACCCATTAAGCAATAATTCCCCACTCTTTCCTCCCCCTAGCCCCTGGTAACCACTCATCTACTTTGGTTTCCATACCTTTGCCTACTCTAGATATTTATGAGTGGGATCATACAGTGTGTGTCCTTCTGTGCCTGGCTTATTTCACTCAGCAGAACGGTTTCAAGGTTCACCTATGTCCTGGCATGCACACTTCTCTTTATGACCGAGTAACACCTCATTGGAGCCCTGGTGGCCCAGTGGTTAAGAGCTCGGCTGTTAACCAAAGGGTCGACAGTTTAAATCCACCAGCCACTCCTTGGAAACCCTATGGGGCACTTCTACTCTGTCCTATAGGGTATCTGTGAGTTGGAATCAACTTGATGGCAACAGATAATGGGTAATATCCCACTGTATCTATATACCACATTCTGTTTGTCCATCCATCTGTTGTCTCCCACTCTCTCTTGAACTCACTACTACCAGGCTTTCACCTCTACCACTTCACTTCAGCTGCTCGTCAAGGTCACTGTTGCTAAATCCAGTAGTCAATGCTGAGTCCTTATCTTATAGGACCTATCAGCAAACAGCATTTGACACAGTTAGTCCCTCCCTCCTTCCTGGTACACTTCTGCACAGGCGTCCCTCGTTTTTCTTCATACCTCACAGGCGATTTCTTCTCATTCTCCTGGGCCTGTTCCTCTGTATGTCTCTGAGCTCCATAAGCTGGAGTGTCCCAGGGTTCAGAATTTGGGCTTTTTTTTTCTTCTCCATCTACACATAATCAAGTACACTCCTGCCTCAGGGCTTATTCGGTCTCTGTCCGCTCTGCCAGGATGTTTGTCCCTCAGGTAGCTACATGGCCAACACCCTCACTTCCCTAGGGTTTCCCCTGAAATCAGTGAGGCCTTCCCTGACCACCCTGTATAAAACAGCAAGCCTTGCCCAATGCTCTCTGACCCACCAGGCATTCCTTACCCTCTCTCCTTGGCTTTAACTTTCTTCATAGCAGGTATCAGGCATCACCACACAACAATCTTTTATTTATTATGTTTATTGTCTCTATCAAGAGCCCTACTGGTGCAATGGTTAAATGCTGGGCTGCTAGCAGAAAGGTTGGCAGTTCAGCTCACCCAGCGGCTCTGAAGGAGACCTGGCAATCTG